TTTTTGATGAACCAATAAATCTAGGAAGAAACATATGAGACCAGTTTGTAGTTAGTTACGAATAAAGGTAGCTTAACAGAGGTGAAAAACAAAGACTGGTTTCCAGTCGTGCAGTTCATTTGTGTCTCTGTGAATTATGTCATTCTCCCATAAAAAGTACCTAAGAAGTACTGTACTCCGCTTACTAATATAGTTCACTAATTAGATCATAGCTGTTACAATTGCAACTCAAACGGTTTAGGGATTTTTATTATTTGCTTGATAAGTATATTAGTCATTCTTTGCTTCACAACAGAAATCCTCAAAATTTCAGGGCCTTATGGTGACAAATATGTATCGTTGTTGCCCGTGACTGTACAGGTTATTTGTGATGGCGCTGTTCCAGGCTATGGGTTGAGCTCAGGTCTGCTCCACATGCCTCTCCTTGCACTAGCTGCTCCCTCAGTTTGTTCTTCTCATGGGGAATGGCAGGGGTGCAAGAATACAAGCCACACCATCCAAGCCTATTTAAAGCCTCAGCTTCCAGCGCGTCTGCTACAATCCATGGGCTAATGCAAGTCAGTGGCCTCTTCAGCATCAGTGGAGCAGGATGCAGACTCAGTTCACAGCGAGGCGCAGTGCGGACTTACAGGGCAAAGAATCTGCTTGTAAACTCCAGTGAAAGGAGAGTGAAAAATTAGGGGAAGCAACAGTCTACCACTGTAAGGAAGCAAGCCATTAAAACACTCATGAATTTGCTAATAGAGGTCTTGGACTATAAACCCAGACAGTCTTCTTTCCCTGAGTAGCTCACATCTTATTTGACTACCTTATTTTGAAAATTTGCCAATGCTCTAAATTTCTTTCAAGAATATTCCTTTCATGCAGGATTATTGTTTAGTAGAAATGGGTACAAATAGAGAAGATTATGAAATTAATTGCTTTTCATGCCTTGTTTGAGAAAGAACTAGAGTTGCTGATTGATTGGAAAATTTCAAGGGGTAGATTAAAAAGGAAATAGGATTAAAAAACCACCTAAGTAAAGTAAAAGTATTCTTGCTAATAAGCCATTGAGAGATAGGATACTTGAAGCACTTCAAACTGAAGTGGAGGGGATCAGTCAAGATAAATGAACTCATAGTATGGAGGCTGATTTCAGAGATTCAGAAAGGCATTAAAATATGTAAGGTCTTCAAAAAGTTAATGGAAAATATGTATTATGATAAAACTGTGCATATGGATTTCAAACTTTTTTGCACCAGAATAAACTCATAATGTAATTCCATTTTCCACGAACTTTAAAATATAATTTTTTTTTTTTTGTCAGAATGCACATGTGCTTGCTGGAGACACGAGGAATGAGGAGTGAGGGGTGGTGAGAGAGCATTCCCCACGGGGATGGTCACTTTTCTGCCATTTGCTCCTTCTTTTGGGATTTTGGGCATACATAATGTGCACACATGGGACTTGAACCATGTCATGTGAGGTCTAGCCATCTTAACCACTGTGCCACCAGCTGGCCCCTACAAACTTTTTTTTTTTTTTTGTCGGGGGAGAGGTTTTTGCTATAGGGCACATGTGCTCGCCAGAAAGAGACAGAGAGACAGAAAGCGAGAAATCACCACTCAGGGTGGATGGCCATGCCACAATCCCTTCTCTTCCATTCTCCTCTTGGGATCTTGGGCAGATATGCACATAAGCCTGGTATGAGTTTAAGCCACCGGGTCCAGGATGCAAACCATGGTCGACTACATGGGAGTCCAGTGACACAGCCATTATGCCATCCATCTGCTGGTCCCAAACAATTTTTTTAAAAGAATTATTTTATTTAACTTTATTTATTTTAATTTGACTGAAAAGGGCCAGAGAGAGAGAGAGATAAAGGAAAAGTGAGCCACCAGGCCCAGCACTCAAACTGCAGTTGGCCATGGGAGTCTAGCACCCACAACCACCACACCTCCTGCCAGCCCCAGCCCTACAAACTTTTTGAAGTCCCCTAGTGTTTATTCTTATTTAGACAAGTAGGGAGAAAGTTCAGAAGTGGTGTGTTATATCATGTAATTATGTAGTGAACTAATTAAATTTTTGTATAATATTTTATAGATATAGACACCAATTTATATATTGTTAATGCCAACTAAATTCTTTTTTTAAATTATTTATTTATCAATTCATTTATTTTTTTTTAATTTGACCAGAGTTAGACAGAGAGAGAGAGAGAGAGAGGGAAAGTGAGAAAGCGAGCCACCAGGTCCTGGACTTGAACCGTGGTCGGCCATGTGGGAGTGTCCAGCACCTTAACCACCATGCCACCTGCTGGTCCCACTAAATTCCGAATGGAATTCATACTTAAAAACTTCTCGTTCTTTTAGTAGTGCTGGAGCCAGACCCTTTTGCCTGATGATTGGGGAGCTCGATCCCATGTGACTGTTACGGGGTTCCAATCCCAACCCACTGGCTTGAAAACATGCTGGGCACATGTATATGCATGTCCAGGTCCCAGCATGATGAAGAAACGAAGGAGAGGGGATTGCGATATGACCACACTGAATAGGCAAATGCTGTCTTTCTTTTTCTGTCTCTGTCTCTCTGTCTCTTGTTTGGTGAGTCCATGTGCCCTTTGAGAATAAATTTTTTAGAAAAGTGATGCTAGGTACAGCTGCTTGATTTGTTAATATTTACTATTTAATGCCTTAGCTCTGTCCTTAAATAGAAAACATCCTTTTATTTTGAAAATGGCATTTTTTACAGCCTAAATTGGTAATATTTCTTAGAAGGCACACAAAATTTATTCATTTGAATAGTTTGAAACACTACGGAAACTCAAAGGAAATGGCATCTTATTACAGTGTGTTGTATTGCGATTATATCTCTTTTCAAGGTATGAACAAGGGTACCAAAGATGTGTATTGCAAAACTGTGTTGTATTGGGCAAAACCTAGTGTACCTTTTTTTGTCAAGGAATTAAAAGTTATTTATCTCTGGTACGTGTATCAGTCTTTACACAACAAATGTATTCATGGGAATATACAATTTCCATTATTTAAAAAAAAATTTTCCAGAGGGAGTGTGTGCTCACCTGAGAGAGAGAGAGACGGGGAAAGAGAGAGAGAGAAGGAAAGTGATAAAGCACTCCCCACACCATGGGGAATGGTCACAGCAGAATTTCCTCTCCATCTCTCTCCCTTCAGGATTTAAGGAACCACACACGCGCCTAGCTTGTTTCTCAATCCACCAGGTCTGGGACTTGAACTGCATTTGGCCATGTGGGATCCGTCCTCTTTAACTACCACGGGACAGCCCCTGATGGTTTCCTTTTTAAAGATTTTTCTTTTTAATTTAATTGCCAGAGGGTGAGTGTGTCCACCAGAGAGAGGGAGAGAGAGAAAGCACCCCTCAATGAAGTGTAGGTTAGTCATACCACAGTCCCTCCTCCATTGCTCCTTGTCATCAGGATTTGGGGCATGCATGTGCATGTGCCCAGCATGGTTTTTCAAGCTGCTCAAGTGAGGATTTGAGCCATGGTTGATCATGTGGGATATGGCTCCCCTATATACACTGCTTAACCACTGTGGATGAGGCTGGACTTAAAATGTTTTATTTTTAATTACAGAATCAAAAATTATAGACTCCCAGGAAGTTCCAAAAATTGTACATCAAGTACCTATGTACCCATCATCTGGCTTCCCCTCGTGGTGGCATTAGGCTAATTTTTAGATCATCCATAGATTGTCTCTGTATGCTTTAAAAAGATTTTTTTAAATTATGTATTTAATTGTATTTATTCATTCTTTTTTTTTTTTTTTTTTTTTCAGTTTGACCAGAGAGAGAAAAAAGGAGAGATAGGGAAAGTAAGAAAGCAAACCACCAGGTCCAGGACAAAAACCTGATCTGCATGTAGGAGTGTTCAGCGCCTTAACCACCATGCCACCTGTTGGTTCCACCTTTATTTTTTATTTTTTTATTTTTATTTTTTGGAGAGGTTTTTGCTATAGCGTATGTGTGCTTGCCAGAGAGACAGAAAGTGAGAAATCCCCTCCCCAGGAGGGATGGCCACGCCGCAATCCCTTCTCTTCCAGGATCTTGGGCACACACCCACACACGCCCGGTATAAGTTTAAGCCACCGAGTCCAGGACTCAAACCATCGTCGACTACATGGGAGTCCAGCCATTACGCCATCTGCTGGTCCTGGTCCCACCTTTAATAAGCTTTCTAAAAATTTTAAAGCTATCTAGGGCCAGCAGGTGCCACAGTGGTTAAGGTCCTGGACTCCCACATGGCCTACTACTACAGTTTGAGTCCCAGACCTGGCAACTTGCTTTCTTACTTTCCTTTCTCTCTGTCTCTCTGGTCAAATTAACAACAACAACAATAATAATAACAAATAAAATAAATAATTTTTAAAAGCTATCTAACTTTCTTTAAAGAATAGACACCTTTATTGTGCTTTGATCCTCTCTAGCTTCCAGAATTACAGAGTATCATTTAAAGTCCTTATGGTCTCTATTGCTTGATCACTTTAGTACATTATTCTCCATTCTCCATTCTCCTCATTTCCAGATTATACTATGGATTGGGAAGTGATTTTGTCTTATGTATCTTTCTGGTACATTTCTCTTCAGCAATCTTTTTTTTTTTTTTTTTTTTTGATTTTTACTATAGGGCTTGTACGCTCGCCAGATAGACAGAGAGAGACATAGAGACAAAAAGCGAGAAATCACCCCCCAGGGGGGATGGGCACGCACGCACGCACACACGCCCAGCGTGAGTTTTAAGCCACCGGGTCCGGGACGCAAACCGTGGTCGACTATGTGGGAGTCCAGCAACATAGCCATTATGCTAACTGCTGGTTCCCTCTCTTCAGCAATCTTAACAGATAAATAAACTCCATTTTACCTCTTATATTGAAGAAACATGTTTTGTTAGATATTCACATTTCTCGTTTTGAGTTGATTTTGTGACGTTTGGAAACTTGATGAGATTTTTGTTTTTTTAACATTATCTCTCTTTTTATTTCCAGCCTGAAAATGAAATTTCTTCAGATTGCAATCATGTAAGTATGGATTTTCTGTAATTTACCATATGTGCTTTATACATGTAGTAATAGATTTTGGGGTGCTTTTCCTATTAATCTGGGAAGCATTATGTTTATTAGAGTTCCTTAGTCGTGAAGGGACGATCAACCTTATTTAAGTACTGGTAAACTCTGCAAATACCCCTTCATTGTAGAAACCAGCAGGTTCTGCCAAATAACATTTGTACACCTAAACTTGAGTTCTTGAGTTATAGCTGCCATAGGAAAGTAATACGTTCTCTGCTTATCAAGTTTAGAATTCTGTAAAGTTCTTTGATTTAATCGTCACAGATATCTCCTGTATGTCAAGCACATTGTGGTAGCTCAGCGAAAGGAAACTGATGTGAAATCAAGTCTGTACAAAAAGTACTGGGTGCTTTGGCAGAAGTCCATATAGACTACAGTACAAACACAAAAGTGAACTTTGTCTAGGTGAGTTAATGTTAGGAAAGAGAGCAAGGAGATGAGGCTTGGACTGGATGTTAAAAGAAGCCTAGGTATTTATCAGACAGAGATCATTGTGTCACAGTGTAAGAGGTAGACTGGACAGGGGACTACAAAAACACAGACACAAGTTGGCTCTTTAGATTAACTACTTATTCCAAAGTGTATACAGGCACTCCTCACTTAGTGACTGAGTCCTGTTGGGTCCAGGACTTGAAACATACTATCAGCCATCTGGGATCCAGCTGCCTGGCCCTGCAGGAAGTTGTAACAACTGTACTCATGCATTTATGTATTTCTTGTGACTCTTTCCTACACTCCTTAAATAGTTGCAGTAGTCCCTCGAAACCTAAAAATTTACTTTTTAGCCATTTGCAGAAAAAGTTGGGTGAACTTTGTTCTAGTTTGTGGATGAAGTAAAGTAAGAAAAACTTACTTATAAAGCAGTCAACTTAAAATACATACACTTTATCCAGATATTTCTACTTCTAGGCATTTGCATGTAATTATGCTTAAAATAATGGATAGAGAGGTGTCTAGGACAAAATATTGGTGTGGTATTGTCCATAAAGCAAAAGTTTAGGGGAAAAATAAAACTACAAATTCAATAAAAGACTGAATCTAACATAGGAGAAACCCTGAAAAAGCTGACTTTGCCTTAGAACTCTCAGGTAACTAGAGAATAGGAAGGATATATTGCCGAAAATTGGGACAGATAGTGTATAGAAAACAGGAGATTTGGTTGAAAGACCATTTAAGAGGCTGCTGGGACTTTTAGAGAACAATTATTTAACCCAGAGCTTCTATGTTGTTGATCATCATGTCCAGCATATAGTAAAAAATAACCAGATATGAGAAGAAGCAGGAAGATATGGCTGATAATAATGAATTAAAGTAGCCAAGAGAAGGAAATCCAACTGTAATTCATCCATTGAAATCAGTAGACAAGAACTTCAAGTAACTGTGATTAATATATTAAATAAAGTAGAAGAAAAGATAGTCAAATGGGTAAAAAGATTAAGTGTTGTGAAAGAGAATTAGAACGTATTAGAAATCAAGTGACCGGGGGACAGCAGTTGGCATAATGGCTATGTTGCTGGACTCCCCTGTAGTCGACCGTGATTCAAGTCCCAGATCCAGTGGCTTAAACTCAAGCTGGGAGCGTGTACATACGTGTCCAAGATCCTGATAGGAGAAGGGATTGCACGGGACCATCCCCCCTGGGGGGGATTATTTCTCGCTGTCTCTCTGTCTTTCTGCCGAACGCGCTTGCACCCTATAGCAAAAACCTCTCCAAAAAAAAAAAGAAAGAAATCAAATGACTGGGGCTAGCAGATGGCATAGTGGTTATGTCGCTGGACTCCCACATGGCCAACTGCAGGTCTAGTTCCAGACCTGGGGGCTTGAAAATCATGCCAGGTATATATGCATGTGTGTCCTAGATCCCAAGAGAATGGATTGCGATGTGGCCATCCCCAGGGAATGATTTCTCATATTCTCCCTTACCATCTCTGCCCCTCTCTCTCTGGCAATTACACGTACCCTAAGGCAAAAACCTTTTTTTAAAAAAAATCAAATGACTGTTTTATAACTATAAAATGTAATCTCTAGAATTAAGAACTTAATGGTTAGTTGCTTTTTTACGGTTTTCTTTTTAGGTTTTGCTATAGGGCGTATATGCTTATCAGAGAGAGACAAAAAGAGAGGAAGAAAGTGAGAAATCACTCTGTGAAAATATGGTTATGTTGCAAACCCTTTTCTGTTTTCCTCTCGGGATTTTAGGCATGTGCGTGCGCGCGCACACAAACACACACATACACTGTGTGTTTTTCAAGGCGCTGGGTCTGGAACTTGAACCGTGAAGTTGCCCAGGTGAAATCCAGTTGCCTTAACCTCCATGCCACCTTAACCCCTTAATGGTTAGTTTTAAAAGATGGGATTAGTGGACATGAAAACGAATCATAGAAAGTATCCAGAGCGAAGCAGAGAAAGGGAAAAAAAATGTTTAAAAAAAAAAACACAAAACACTATGAGTTCTATGGAAAACTCTAAATAGCATATATGTTAGTGGAGTCCAAGAAGTAAAAAACAGTAGAATAGTATTAGTATTTGGAGAAATCATTACCAATAATATTTCCAAATATAAGCAGAGGCATCCATGAATTTAGCAAGTTTAGTGAATCTGAAGAGAGATCTATACTAATTATAAACATTCAGACACATTTTTTAAAAAATTATTTATTTGAAACCAGCAGATGGTGTAATGATTATGTTGCTAGACTCCCACGTAGTTGATTGGTTCGAGTACCAGACCCAGAGGCTTAAAACTCAAGCCGGGCACGTGTGTGTGCATGTCTTAGATCCCAAGAGGAGAATGGAAGAGAAGGAATTGTGGTGTGGCCATCCCTCCTGGGGGGTGATTTCTCGCTTTCTTTTTTGTCTCTCTCTGTCACATACGTGCACCCTATAGCAAATAACCTATAGAAAAATTATTTGTTTTATTTATTATTATGGTGATCATTACTATTTAACTTCCTACAGTCATCAGAGAGAGAGGGGGAAAGTGAGAAAGCAAACTGCCAAGTCTGAGACTTGAAACATGGTCGGCCACGTGGGAATCCACAAGAAGGGATTGTGGCATGACAGCACCTCATGGCGGGGGGGTAATTTCTCTCTCTGGCAAGCGCACATGCCCCTCTGGCAAAACAACAATGAAAAAGACTTTTTTTTCTTAAGAGAGGTTTTTGCTATAGGATGTGTGTGCTCACAGGAAAGACAGAGACAGCAAGCAAAAAATCACCCCCTTGGGGGAATGGCCACGCCACAATCCCTTCTCTATTCTCCTCTTGGGATCTTGGACACGCACGCACATGCACCCAGCGTGAGTTTAAGCCACCGGGTCTGGAACTCAAACTGCAGTTCAACTACTAGTATTCCCATTGCTAGGAGTCCAGCAATGTAACCATTATGCCATCTGGTGGTCCCAAAAAGACTTTTTTTTTCTTTTGGAGAGGTTTTTGCTATATGGTGTGTGTGTTCGCCAGAAAGAGAGACAGAAAGAGGGAAAGCAAGAAATCACCCCCCTGGGGGGGGTGGGTGGCCCATGCCACAATCCCTTCTCTATTCTCCTCTTGGGATCTTGGGCACGTACGCACATGCGCCTGGCATGAGTTCAAGCCACTGGGTCCAGACCTCGAACCACGGTCGACTACATGGGAGTCCAGCAACATAGCCATTATGCTAACTGCTGGTCCCCCCAAAAAGACTTTTTAAAACAGTTGTGTAAAGGTCAGCAGGTGGCATGGTGGTTAAGGCCCTGGACTCCCACATGGCCAACCACAGTTCACATCCCAGGCCCGGTAGCTTGAAAATCACGCTGAGTATATGCACCCAGAATCCTGAGAGGAGAATGGAGAAGGGATTGCCGTGTAGCCATCCTCCCTGGGGTGTGATTTCTCACTTTCCTTCTCTCTGTCTCTTTTTCTCTCTGGTGAGTTCATGTGCCCTATGGCATAAACCTAAAAAAAAAAAAAAAAAAAAAAAAAAAAGGAAAGGTAGTCCTTGGGGGGAATGAAGACAAAGGCAAGGTAGTCCTTGGGGTGAATGTGTCTAGTCAGATGTTTTAAAGGAATGCAAATACATATACCTGCTTTATTTGATTCTGTATGATTGGGTTTTGTCATTTAAAATAACCAGTGATAATAAATTCTGTACACTTCTAATGAGTTTTTTTGTTTCATTTTTTTTCCTTCTTGTATCTAGTTGTTGTGGAATTATAAGCTGAACCTAACTACAGATCCCAAATTTGAATCTGTGGCCAGAGAGGTTTGCAAATCTACCATTTCAGAGGTAGGTCATGAAAAATTTTGTTGATATCTAATGACTTAGAAGAGAAAATTACGTCTGTAGATGAGACCAATCATTAAAAGAGGAACGATTCAGTCTTTTACTTAGAATTCACATCTGTCTTGGCTAAGAGATAGGAAATGCGGTATAAGTAGACTTCTTTTGGTTGACATGCACCTACACTTTCGGTGGGATCCTGTGTTGGAAGCATTTATAATCAGGTGTGTGGGCCCTGCAGAGTGAGCACACCAGCTGAGGTCCCCAGTGCTGGGTTCCTGCAGCAGACAGTGGGCTTGGCCTGGGTCATGGCATGCACTTTCCCCGAGAGGTTTATCAGCAGTGCTAAATGTTTTGACTCTGTAGTTGGATCAGTTGAACCACTGAAGCATGGATTTACATAGTTAGAGTTAGTGTTAAAATAGCTTAAGGTATGATTGTGTATCTTGTATAAATTGGTACTGTATTAAAGATCAAAACAATGAAAATGTATAGCATTTAGAGATGCTAATGGGAGAAATTTTGAATTATTTATCTTGGCTCAGTGTAAAGAAATATTATTAGTGGAAATTAATAGTAGTTGAAATTTCTTTTTTGGTTTTTGGGGTTTTTGTGTATGTGAGCCAATAATAGAAACTCTAGATAGCCAGAGTTTCTGCATACTGACGACTGAGAATCACAGAGAAAACAGTTGCTATTTTCCACCCCAAAGTTAGTGGTCATACACACTACTCTGTCTCAAACTGACCCTACCGATGGCTAAAGTCAGGGCCCTTTTCTCCAGAGCTCTTTAAGGAAGACCCTGTTCCACCCAGGGGCCTCAGCTCTGTCCCTCAGTTATGTCGTTATGGATGGGGTCTGTCTTTTCTTAAACCTTCTAATACTATTCGGCCGTCAGAAAAGTCCTGATGCATCTTTGCATAGAAAAATACCCCATAGCCTACCCGATGACACAGTAGACCAGACATGCTGTAGTCCTTTAAAGCGGCGACCCTTTATATTTACCTTGGAGACTCAGAGTAGAGTAGCATGTCTTTGAAAAATGGACCTTCACCTTCTAGCTTTAATATTCTGTTATCTCACACTCCCTTAGCTAGCTGGATGGCTGAACTTCGAACTTTAAAATACCTAGGGTAGAGGTATTGCTTAATAACAGAAAGAAGTAAAGAAGTGATTCTCAGGTTTGAACTTTTAATGTTTATGTATGCCTGCTGTATTATGGAACTGTTCAGTTATATTTAGGTTCTTTTTTTTTAATGATAGGTCAGGATGTGTTTGTCTTGCCCCATTTTGGGTCAGTGTTAAATACATACTAGTTTGATTGCCGTGTAAAAGCAGAGTATACACGTGTTCACCAGCCTAGTGTTCACTTTTTATATGAGGCTGGTTTCCTTACAATCTGCGTGTAATGGTGATAGTCCTCTATGACCTTTTGAGGTATTCTGGTCTTATAAAAGATTCAGATAACAAGGATACTTGTTCTTCCCTACAGAGAGATTATACTGGAGTCAGGGAAATTAAATATCAGGAAGAACACAGTGGCCAAGAAAACATTTTATTCTACATCTCTCTTCTTTCTTACTTTTGGAATCCTACTTCTAAGGAGGAAAACATCACAAGAATACCTGCAAGCTGCAAACCAAACTTATTTTCTCTCCATAGCAGAGCTAAATACTTACTGCTTGTCTCATGTCAACAAATCCAGTGATTATATCATCTTTCTAACATCATCTTACGAATCTGCTCTCCCACTAGTTCAGAATTTACCCCTACTCTTAAATACACGGATGACTTTGCACTGTTTTCTGTTAGTCTTACATGTATAATGAAATAGAAGGGGACAAATTAAAAATAATTTTTAAAAATAAAGTCAAATAAAATAATTATTTTTTTAAAAAATGGGGCCAGCAGGTGGTGTGGTGGTTACAGGCACTGAACTCCTACATGATCTACTGCAGTTCGAGTCCCGGACCTGTCGGCTTGCTTTCTCACTTCCTTTCTCTCTCTCTCTCTGTGTCCCTCTCTGGTCAAATTAAAATAATTAAAAAAAATAAAGTTAAATAAAATGATTGGTTTTTTTTTTGAGAGGTTTTTACTATAGGGCGCATACTCTCGCCAAAAGGACAGAGAGAGACAGAAAGACTGTGTCCCTCTCTGGTCAAATTAAAATAATTTAAAAAAATAAAGTCAAATAAAATAATTGGGTTTTTTTTGAGAGGTTTTTACTATAGGGCGCATACACTCGCCAAAAAGACAGCGAGAGACAGCAAGAGAGAAATCCCCCCCCCCAGGGGGGTTGGCCACGCCGCAGTCCCTTCTCCTCCATTCTCTCGGGATCTTGGGCACGCATGCACATGCGCCCAGCGTGAGTTTAAGCTGCCGGGTCTGGGACTCAAACCACAGTCGACTGTGGGAGTCCAGCAACATAGCAATTACATTAACTGCTGGTCCCAAATAAAATAATTCGTTTAAAAAAAAAAAAAAGATAGAAGGGGAAAGTGCTCTCCAGCAGAAGGTTTGAGGAAGAGTGTAGACGTCCGCTCAGGCAGCATACCCTGTTATAGGTAGTGCTGAGCTGGAATGCAGATAGGTACCACATCTCTGTGTTTCAGTACAATCTCAGGAAATTGAAACTACGTGTATATTTTGTTTTTTATTGGGGTTCCAACTCAAAAAGCGCTCTTGGCCCTTTTCAGATTATTTAACTGTTGATTATCCATTTAGATACTGCTTCGTTAAATTTTAAAGTGCACATGTCTATCACCAGATGTTTTTTCCCTATGGTTGAATTGCACAATGCTGGGATTTTTCAAGAACTGTTCCCCTTTTCACTTTTGATTTTTTTTTTTTTTTTTTGGAGAGGTTTTCGCTATAGGGCGCGTGCGCTCACCAGACAGACAGAGAGAGACAGAGAGACAGAAAGCGAGAAATCACCCCCCAGGGGGGATGGTCACGCCACAGTCCCTTCTCCTCCATTCTCCTCTCGGGATCTTGGGCACGCACGCACACGCGCCCGGCATGAGTTTTAAGCCACCGGGTCCGGGAAGCGAACCGCGGTCGACTACGTGGGAGTCCAGCCACATAGCCATTACGCTAACTGCTGGTCCCCACTTTTGATTCTTAATCGTTTTGTCAAAAACAAAACAAAAAACTCCTTTTTTGAAAATACATTCATGGCCCTTTTTTTCAGGATCACCAAAATAGTACTCAAGGTGAAACTGAAAGAATTGCATTCATCTTTACAATTAAAATCTTTGTTGCCTCTGAAACCAGTGTGAGACTATTTAAATTCCCAAGTTTGCTTCTTTAAAAGTAAACACTATTTTCTGTCTTGAACTGAGTTTCTGACTTGATCTGATGCTGAAGTTAGACATGAACAGACCCACTTGCCTGTAGGATAATTACTGTACGGTTTTTCCTATACCCTGCATCTTTTGGAAAAGAGAATGTATTTGTTTTGCCTGATAGATGGAGCATGGGAGAATGGTGTCTACTGGTTAAAAAAAACTCCTTTCTCATTTATACTCAAAATAAATATTTACATTTAGCTCTTTCCTCCTGTCAAAACTGCCACTTCTGTTTTTCATTTCTCCAAGTGCAAAAGGCTTTTTTTCCCCAAAAACAACCTTCTCTGCTTTTTAGTTCAAGCTTACTACCCTAGATTTCACTTGTTTTCAGGAAAGTTCGCTTCTAGCATTTGTGGTTTGAGATGCACTTTGCAGGAATACCGACCATGTGGGATCACTCTGTGCTTGATTCACGAGATCGTGTGTCCCAACTGCTCCACTACCCTTGTAGTGGGCTTCCCCTTCCCCAACTTGCCAGATTGCAGGGAGTTTCATTTTGAACATGTTTCTGTTTCAGACCATAGCGGTTAAGTTTAATTTCTGCAAAGTTCAAAAATATATGTCCAAATCCATAGCTGATTCAGAGCACGTTGATGTCACGCCAGGGAATAATATTATGCCTTCCGGCCTCTCTCCCTTGGCTCTTAGGTTTACCTAACGGCAATAGCTGGCTGCGAAGTTTGGCTTGGGTTGTGCAGCTGGACTAGAGTTTCACTCCTGTTTTCCAGGCCTACTCCCCAGATTCATCCCCTTGCTGTCCACTGAAATCTTCACGTGGTTGTGAGGAATTCTCAGTAAGACCATGCTAAAGCTGTGGTGTTAAAACTCTTTTTAGTGGGACCAGCAGGTGGTGTGGTGGTTAGGGTACTGAACACAGCCACAGAACTGACCAAGTCCTGGACCTGGCAGCTTGCTTTCTCACTTTCCCTCTTTGTTTGTTTGTTTGTTTAGCTTTATTTACTTATTTTAATTTGATGAGAGAGAGAGAACGCTGCCAGGTCCAAGACTTAGACTGCGGTCAGCCATGTGGGAGTCCAGCATCCTTAACCACCATGCCATCTGTGGGCCACCTTACTTTCTCTCTTTCTCACTCCGTGTCTCTCTCTGATCAAACTAAAAATAAATGAATGAATAAATAAAATTAACTAAATAATTTTTTTTTTGGAGAGGTTTTTGCTATAGGGCATGTGCGCTCGCCAGACAGAGAGACAGAAAGCGAGAAATCACCCCCCGGGGGGGTGGCCATGCCGCAATCCTTTCTCCTCCATTCTCCTCTCGGGATCTTGGGCACGCATGCACACACGCCCAGCATGAGTTTAAGCCACCGGGTCCAGGATTCAAACTGCGGTCGACTACGTGGGAGTCCAGCAACATAGCCATTACACTAACTGCTGGTCCCACTAAATAATTTTTAAAAACTAGAAGTTCTTTATTTTAAAAAAGCTCTTTTTGCTCCATTTAGAAATTAGTTTTAATCATTTGGATGTATGTGCATACACATATCTTGCAAAACACATTAATCAAGTATTTCCTAGAAGGCACAATTTCACATCGTTATTATTATTATTATTTAATGAACACTTTTTTTTTTTTTTTTGAGAAGTTTTCGCTATAGGGCATGTGCGCTCGCCAGACAGATAGAGACAGACAAATCCCCCCCCAGGGGGGGTGGCCATGCCGCAATCCTTTCTCCTCCATTCTCCTCTCGGGATCTTGGGCATGCACGCACATGCGCCCGGCATGAGTTTTAAGCCACTGGGTCCGGGGTGTGAACTGCGGTCGACTACGTGGGAGTCCAGCGACATAGCCATCATGCTAACTGCTGGTTCCCAAAGGTTTGTTTTTTTTTTTTTTGAGAAGTTTTCGCTATAGGGCATGTGCGCTCGCCAGACAGATAGAGACAGACAAATCCCCCCCCAGGGGGGGTGGCCATGCCGCAATCCTTTCTCCTCCATTCTCCTCTCGGGATCTTGGGCATGCACGCACATGCGCCCGGCATGAGTTTTAAGCCACTGGGTCCGGGGTGTGAACTGCGGTCGACTACGTGGGAGTCCAGCGACATAGCCATTACGCTAACTGCTGGTTCCCAAATGAACACATTTTTTAATGGCTTTTAAAAATATATTTCTAGGGGCCAGCAAGTGGCATGATGGTGAAGGTGCTGGACTCCCATATGGGCAAGCGCCGTTAAAGTCCCAGACCTGGAGGCTTGCTTTCTCACTTTCCCTTTCTCTCTCATTCTCTGTCTATGATCAGATTTATATATAT